TATGAAAGATGTGTACACATGAGTATTTATGTTATGTTATGTTGGAGATGAGACATATGTGATATTGTTTATGTTCATGCTGCGACCATGCCTATTTAACATATTATGAAATGTGCATTACATAGTGTGAGCATTATTTTCCTCTTATGCTCACTCTCACCTGCTCTTAACGGATGTAGGTTAAGCAGCTAGCGGATGACGAGGCAAGGCGAGTGGGTGGTCTATCGTGTTATTTATTATTATTTGCTTCCGCATTTATTAACCTCTAGTTTGGGTTATTTGAACATGTTGATTGAATTGCTGAATATGTGGAGCTGGTTATTATGAAAACTATTGGATTTGTTTATGATGAAAAACATTTCCATGATATTCTGAGTATGTGAATAAGAATGTCATGACGTTTTTGTTTATGTATTCGTGGTTGAGAATACGGTTAATGAAAACCTTTGAAAATCGGGTAATGAATCCCCGTTAGTTCAGACATGAATTGAACTATGTTTCGAAATGAATGAGTAACGCAGAATTATTTATGAATCGAAAAATGAATTTCGAAAAATTTTACTGTGATATTTGAAAAAGACATGGAGTTTCTTTAAAATCGTTTGGGGCGTTACAGATTGGTATCAGAGCCAGTCTGCGTTTCTGTAGACTGGCATATATGTGAAAATGTGTTTATATGCTTAGACCTTGTGTTATGACCACTCGTCTTCGTCATGCCGCGCTGCTTAAGGTATGTGTTTATATAAGTATTAATGAAAATGCTTATATTGTGAAATGTGAAATTTGTACATGAGTAGCAATGAAACTACTTGTGATGTGATATGAGATGTTGTTAACTGGGGCTTAGGAATTTATCCTCTTACTTCTGAAATTTTTGAACTCTAGTGTTTATTGGTAAACTCTAGAAGAATACAAACCTCCGTATGTGCAGACTTGAACTCTAGCGGTACAGAGTTAAGTTCAGCTAGGAGATTTATTTGTGGAAAATTTGATTTGGTGCTATAGAGTCATGCTTTGTTGTAGCAATCATCTCGATGATAATTTAGTATCTTCAAGTGAGGACCATTCGCAAGCCATCTCGAAAAGAGAAGGGCTTAAGTGAAGGGAGCAGACGACCGAGAAAATTCCATGTGTGGATTAATCAGAAGTCTGTAACTGTTGTCGTCAAGACCATTAGACGCGTGTTAGAACCCAGTGAGTGATGACCGGGAGAGGGGTCTAGGTGTCAGGCTCGTGTGGATGAACTTATTCCTTTTACTTATGGATCCATGGAGAACGACATGATGATTGAATTTATCCTGTTTTAACTAGTTCGCTTTTCATCGGATGGATTTGAAAATCCATTGGGTAATCGAGTATACATTAGTTCGTATTCTCGTTCGATGCGTTGATTATTTTCTTGAACTTTTTGTGGATATCCGGACTCTCGATTTTAAGATCGAACCTTGAGTCGCTGTGATTAAATAATGTTAGTCGGAGCCTTTTTTTTGTTACCCGACACTCTCGCCTCGTGTTGATTGAGATTCGTCGAGTGTGAAGAGTGAAACCATATTCGTGACCCTTATAGCGGTGGTTGCTCATCGTTGTTTTGACTTTCGAAATTCGGTTAAATGTTTTTGAACTATTCTGATGAATTAAAGTTGAAACTCCTATGTTCCATCCCGAGCGAGAATTGTGTTGATATCATTTTCATTTTAAGAATTTCGGCCAAGGTTTGGCAATTGTGCGGCCAGTTGTCTGTTGTTCGATCTTGTAGATGATCTGGGTTCATTGTTGTTTTTTAGCCCCGAATTACCGTTGTCTCTTTCCGAATTGTTCATGTAAATCTTATACCAACTCGTGCCTTTCATGAGGTATATGAATTGAGGGTGTAATGTTTTTATTTTGAGAGTTGTGTCAATAATTCGATCTTGGCACAATCAGTTTTCGTTTTAAATCACAGATGTTTGAGTCTGTCATTTGTTGCTGTTTTTGGCTCGTTTCTGGTAACCTGAGAATCTCGACGTCTTCATGTGAGTTATAATTTTATCTCCTCGGTATCTATGGTGCAAGTTTCAGCTAAATATCTTTCATATACGAAGAGATATGTCCAATGTTCGAACGTCGTACAATATATTTTTCTGAATTGACAGCAGGTTTAGTGTGTAAATTGGACCTGTTATAGGCCTTTGACTTACCAATCGCGCTTTTGCCGCCCAAGTGTTTTTCACTCACCCTTGACTATTTCCTTTCGCATGGTAGTCAAGATGAATTGTGCTTCCGAGACTCCTTTTGGTTGTTAAATTTTGTACTTTGGAAATTTCGCGAGATTTTCCCTTCCTTGCGATAAGAATCGAAATTTTATCTTCTGAATTGTCCTAGTAAATTTGGAAATCTTGTTTCATGATACCCTTAGTCAATGCGAATATCTTAGAATGCGGATCCCAACGCAACGCTCGAAAGAAGGCCCAACTATGAGGAAGAAGAACGATACATATTCAACTGTGATCGAGGCAAATGTAGCTACAGACGGACGAGCTTTGAAGCTAACACCTAGTAGATCGATACAAAGGACTCAGACGCATCTCTCAGAATGACTCGGCAAGACAGAAATCCTTAGGACATTCAAATCCAGGTCGTGAAGTAATGCACCGCCATGGAGGGAGACAAGAAGATTCATTTCCATGAAACGAAGTCGACGTCAATATCAAGAAGTATGTTTCCACCTTAAAGGATTACGCAGAATCTTTTAAGGAGGATAGTCGAGTCCGGAAAAAGCACCCCGTGCGGTGCTGAACCGTCTTTGTGTGTATTTTTTTTGTCAAGTGTAGTCTTTAGAAAATCTCGTTCCTTTTATTCTTTCCAGAGTTTTGGGAGAAATCTTTTGTTATCTTGGGACTTTAGCAATCCCTTGCGAACATTTGTTATGGTTTTTGGTTTCAAGTGTTGCAACCTTGTTTATCGGTAAAGGCAAGTATTTGATTCCCTTGTCATATATCATCCTTTCCGTTGTGGTGATGTCTTTTGGGTTGAGCCACTGGCTGGCGACTGCTATGAGTTGTCTAGTCGCTATATTATTGCCAATGACGTCTCGGCCTATTCTGGAGAACCCTAGGGCGTGATAAGGATGTGAAGAATAGTAAGTGAGTTGCGCTCGATCATGACTACTAGCACGGTTAGCTACTTGGTTAAGAGCTGACATGATAGCCGACACTGTTAGTCGGAAGAGTAGATGCGAGCTAGTTGTCGTAATTCCCATCAGGAGCTATTGGTTGGGATTACTCCTGACAGGTAAACCATACTTGAATTCTTTTGAGAATTCCCGCCTATCACAAGCGTGTGATCTTTTCGCGTGTTATAGTGTGTCGTTTGGATAATAGTGGACTTGGAACCTTGAACCGAACGTCAACCTTGACTGGGTGTAGCCACGCGAAGTGGTGGCCGAGCACGCACGACCATGCTGAGAGACGGGAGGCTTGTGCACGGTCGACTGTTGACTCGCGTGTGAACTGCAGCCGCCATCACCGTACGCACGAACTCCCTAGGCCAGTGTGTGCGGCCAACCAGCGAGGTTTTCCCGAACTGTTCGAACCGTTTCATGTTGGACCATTTGGTTAGCCTATTTAAACTTTTCCTTGCGAGCCTTGAACCGAGAACTCCAAGTCCCACTAATATGTGTATAAATCCTTAATCGATGTTTTCTGATTAAGGAATGTAGTCATTGAGTCCCTATGCTTTATTTGAGAGTTTCTCGAGTTGGCAAATAGGGAATGTCGTGTTGCTTTTGGTCACACCTTATGTTTGTGCATAAGGGTTGCATTCGACTCGTGGAGTCGATATCAAGAGAGTATGAGCATGATGGTGTCTTGTTGTATGTATGTGGGACCGTGTCATAGTCTCTGATGGAGACGCACGGTCTGTGATGAAATCGTGAGCAAGTTATCAGTGTGACTCGGATGCGAGACTGAAACTTGGCGTCACGTGTCCACCTTGATGGTGAGGTAGTCGGAGTACGCTAACAATACACCGAATGACCGGTTGAGGTTTTGTGTGTTGTTGGGTATGAAGCAAGTCGTTGATACTCATGAGTATAGCACGAGTATAGGCTGAACCGAACTGGGTCCCTTGCAAGAGGATGTACGCCTGAGCTCGGGTAGGACTGATCACCCTCCCAGGTAAGAAGGTAAACATATGAGCATAGGGCGAGTCGGATTGGTTCCTGTATGTGAGTACATGCCTTTTAGGAACGAGGCGATAGGACTCATGGGAGCGGAATTGAGTCCCAGAGGGTGATGCCCGGACCTCGTGATTAGAAATTTCTGATCGAGTCTATCGTTTTCTTTTAGATGCGTGTTTCTTTTGCATTTCCGAGGACGGAAATATTTTAAGGAGGATAGATTGTAGCGCCCGGTTCGATTTATAGAATTTCTCGTAATATTCTATTGATCGAATATTATTTATAAGATTATATTTATTTCATTGGTCGCTATGTCGACTTAAATAAAAGGTTTGAGTATTTGATCGTTTTATTGTAAAACGTTCGTCGTACGACGATTTCAGTTTAGTTATGTGAACCGAATATAGTCCGTTTGAATAATGGATTTTTCGGATATGTTGGCATTATTATTTATTTTATTAAATTGCCAAAGTGAATTAATTACTTGATAATGTATTTATTAGTGTGTGCTAATAAATATGCATTATGTCGGTTTCGTAAATTTAAAGGTTTACGGGTCGCCATATTTTATTTTCCGAGCGCTATGTATTTTCGGATTTTGTGAAATTAAGCCGGATAAACCGGTAGTTGAAACCGGCCAACTCGTGAACCCGTTTGTTTATGATTATTTGGGATTATTATTATTATTATTATTATTATTATTATTATTATTATTATTATTATTATTATTATTATTATTATTATTATT